TTTTCCACCACTCTTTTTTCCCTTGCTTCACAAGAAAAACCAGTGAAGTTGCAGTCCATCTGGTGATTCATCACTGTTTTTTTCAAAGCATAAAATGTCATTGTGTCCCCCAGGCAGTGCAGGTTTACCAATGTCTATTGCTCTGACTAATATAATTAGGGATTTTTCTTCTAAGTGTTATGTATCATCACTAAAATTTTTGCAAGTCGTCAGCTGAGTGCAAGGAAACCTCCATGAAAGTGGCAAACTAAGAAGTTTAAATTATTCAGTCATGTTTAAAAGTCTTTACTTATTTTAATAAGAGCATAAAAAATACATATGATGTTGAAAGTGAAAACTGAGGGTCAATATGCTTTCATGAAAAGGTTTTCCCTGAAAAGCAATGTTTATTGCAATTTATAACTCGTCAAGCTTTCTGACTCAATGCTATGAAATACAGAATGAAATTTAATCAGCCCAGAGGAGCTCTTTCAGTCAGAGTAACGAGGATCAGGTAAGGATGTAACTGTGTCTGCAGACAGGGATAATTCACAATATTGATATGGAGATGTAAGCAAAAGGCTTTATTGTTGACCCAGCTAACACAATATTCACCCCTGAAGTAGAGAAAACTTTGAGTAGCCCTTTATCTGGGACTGAGGAAGGTAGGAAGATGGTTCCTTCATTCATTGAATTTAAGTAGAGGACAGACAAGAGATCTGGTCTCAAACTGATATGGGGCAATGTTTTGGTAGGGCTCTGTGGATAAGAAGAATTGGGAGGGAATTATATCAATCTCAAGTGTATTGAAGATACTATCTCTTAGTATCTTCACATATCATCTTCATATATCCTCTTAAGCATATCCTCTTCCATATCCTCTTAGGCAATGGAAGACATAAACTAGAGAAGAATGGAAGGAGAAAATGAGAGGAAGTGGTACAGGTAACATCCAGCTATTACTTGGAAATTGAACACATTTCCTTTCATACTTTGCATAATATAAGCCATAAACTCATCTTTACAAGTCTAGTCTTGAGTTAATACAGGTGTATATTAAACACTTTTTGTTCATGGCAAGTAGCAACTGATAATCATCACTAGTTTGTTGCCTGCTCCTTCCTTAAAATTGTAACTTCCTTAAAATTGTAACTTCCTTAAAATTGTGGTTACATCTTCCTTTTCATTGTTACGTTGTTAGATCTCTTTTGACCTCTTGTATTTCAGAGGACTCTTTCCATTAGCTGTGTCTGATGGGTCTTCCATTTTGACAATGTCTTTCTGAAAAAGATAAAAATAAAACGTGTTGCACTGAAATTAACAGTACATTACCTCCGGTACGATAATGACAGCAGTGTGACAACTTGCAAATTAATGGTAAAATAGATTATCACCCTTTCACACACATTTGTGTGATATTTTGCAACACTATTTCTTTGTACGATATGGAGTCAGGAATGTGTTAAATGGCAGCATAATTTATTGTTGTTTACCAGATAGAGGGTATTTTATTAAGGTTCGCAAATATCTTGTCAAATACGTGAGGAACACTTGATAAACCATTTTGGAAAGTGTCATGGGTGTAAACAGCTGGTGATAGAGCCAAGAATGCTGCTTTTGTGCACATTTCTTAAACACAGATGTTTATGGCTTTCCTACATAATCTTATTTTCAAGTTTTCTTTTGTAGACCTGTTTTTGCATTTTGTACAAGAAGTATGTTCTCATGGTTTGTTCTATTCAACTGCTTTATTCCAAGGAACTTGTAGCACTTCATTGTCTTATGCTGGTGCTCAGAGATTTCTATCAGAGCTGGACTTTATGATACAGTGCTTTAAAAATGCTGTGTGCAATTTATTACAGGTTGTAAAAAGCTTATTTGCTATGAAGTTCATGGTGTAGTGGTGAACAAATGTCATGAAGCTCTTGTACCTACTCACTCCACTGGAATTAAATTTACCCTGATTGCCTGCAAAGCAGTGTCCTTCCTCCAATTCAAAACAAACCATTTTTGTTGCTTTTTTCTATCACATAGTATGAGCAAACAATAGTAAGTTATTCTCATCTCTTTGTCTCCTTTCATTAGAAACATGATGTTTACTGCCAAAGTAATGTTCATTCTTGAGTTCTTGGACTATTTTGCAAGTCCTCTCTTTTCCTTGTGGTGGAATAGATCATTAGCAGTCAGCACATGGTTAACACTCATTAAACACAAAACTGTAATATCAGTAGAGTGTGGGTAAAAAGTTGAAATTCTTCCAAGATTTTTCTCTCCAGGTAAAATCCCAAAATGAAATTCCAGGATTACAGCTGGGTATTTTTTCTGCTTTTAGATAAGAGACAGGAAGGAGACTGCAGGATCCCAGGACTGCAGTTGTGTTGATAATTGAGTACTCTTGGCTTACGGCTTATGAGATCTACACTTCAGATACACTATCAATACCTATGCTGGTCATCCAAACCCTGTTACAAGGGAGATTCCATCTGTAACATTCTGGGATTGGTTTTGTTTTGTTTTCTGAATGTGCTGGAACTGTTACATTACAAAGCTTTACATTTTGAAATTTGATCCAAATCTGGATTGGTGTTGATGAGGGCACCAAAATACACATTTCATCATGCAGAAAGATGAGTGAGGATAATGAAGGGTGGTGGCAGTCTGAGTACCTGCCATGTCAAACCAAAATCAAAGCTCTTTCTTCAAACATTAAATAGTAGCAATTACTTTATGAGTGCTATTTAACATGTTTGCATTTTTCCTATCCCCAAACCAATTACAGACAATTACTTTTCACTAAAACTTGTGAAACAGAGACCATAGTTGGCTGGTTCGTCTTTCTGAACAATACCAGAAATAAATCTTCCCATACCATATTCGTACATTCCTTACAGTAAAATGTCAAAAGATTAACCAGATACCAGTTAATTGGTGTTCCATGGATATCTGTATGAGCTGAACAAGCAGTGTTTTACATCAGTCAGAAACTGTTTGCTCTGCTGTAATAATGCCTCTAACTACTTCAACAATTAAAATCATTGCAGGGATTGTGTGAAGTGTATTTATTACTGTTGTTAATTAGAAGGCATGAATCAAAAGAGGAAAGCTGTTATCCTGTGAGCCAAACCTGACTTCCTTGAGTACAGTGAGATTTATCTTGCAAGACAAAACATTGTATAAATTCAGACACTTCTTTCAGTATTTACTATTTGCATTGCATTAGCGTCCTATAATTATTAAGAGTTGCTAGTCTCTGATTTACTTTGTGGCTCAGATGCTTCTATAAATTCACTCAAATCCTCTTCCAGAAGATAAATTCAAGGAACTTTGACATATTCTAGGGTTTCTTGTTTCTCCTTTGCCTATTAAACCTGTTCTGATCATGACCATCAACTCTATAGCTCAAAAGGAATTCTACTGAAGAGCGCTAATGCAGCAACCCTATCTTAGAAAAGGGCAAGGACAACAAGAGAATTCAAGGAGTTGAATAGAAGGAGATGAGATTATGATAATGTCCAGGGGATAATCCGGTCACTGTCTGGAGCCAGCATCAGGTATGGTCAAGTCCTGGTTGCTGTTACCAATAAACTGGCCTTTTGTATCTTGGTGCTTGCAGGCATGTGTCACTAGCATCCAAGGCTGGACTCATTATCCTCTGGAGGATCCCTGAAGGTGATAGCACATTAGACATAGGTCACTGACAGAGTTAATGGGCAGACTGTGTCTTTTAGCTGAGACTTAAGTACTGCCAGGGTGCATGGGTTGTGTGATGGCTTCTTTCTGGAGGAGCTGGTGGGAGTCCTCAAGGAAGGAATGTTCCTTTGTGTCTCAAGTAGTCATTCTCATTTTTTGACCTTGCTTAGAGAAAAACTAAATGGGTAGGTAAAGATCAGATATGATTTTCTTTTAAATTCTCATTTTTGATAGTGCATATGAAGATAGAATAGAATTTTCTAATTGTTTGTTGGAACAGATGAGAATTCATTCTAGCCACGCATTTTTCTAGATTGTATCATCCTTTGTAGTTTCTGCTGCTTTACAATTGCCATGCTGGTTTTTATAAGTGCATAAAAATAAAGTGATATTGTCACATTCCATTGAACAACTTAGTGACTACATTTTGAGGTAACGGACTACTGCAATTATGTAATGCATACCCTGTGTACAGGAAGCTTTATACGTGTAACTTTAAACTACACAGTAGTCATTGAGTTATACTTCCTTTATAATTCTTTTCCCTAGAAGGACTGACTTTTCTACTATTTTGAATACTTTTGGTGAAACACATGATAGAAAAAGTAAACATGTCAATGTAATCTTAGCTTAATTTTTTAGGTTGTTGGTGTCGTTCGTCTCCCCCCATCCTGTGTCCCATCCTTCCCCCCCCTCCCCCGTCATCTTTTGATCTCATATATGTGATCAACCCAAGATCTAACGTATAAATGGTCTACTATATGGAGCAATAGTGTTTGGGTAAATACAGCTTTTTCATCTGAAGTGCTCCCCTAGAACAGGGCTGAAGGCTGTATAATTTTCTCCATGTTACAATGGTTGCATTTAATTGGTCTAGTTATAATTGGTAGACTTTCATAGCAGTATGAAAGTAAGAGCTCTTGTCTCCTGACATGTGGCTGCCTGTGTTGTGTTGCATTGATGCATCCCCATCCACACTGTCAGACATAGCTGTAACCAGAAAGCCACAGAGCTTTCTGTCGTTCTAGGTAGGAGTATAATTGGTCAAAAGATTAAGAGATTAATACAGCTGGCTTTCCTGCAACCCTAAGGAAAAGCATAGGCAAATCTTGTGCATATAAAAGTTTAGAATTAATTATTGAATCATTCTCTGATTTGCATGTTCAAGAAGAACATCATCAATCATTTTCCACTATCATTTCCAGATGTCTTTTTGCTCCTAGATATAAGGTGATCAGGTTGGAGCTGGACCTAGTCAGAGACCATCAGGTCTGCTCAACTTCTTGCAGAGCTCCACAGGCTAATCAGGCACAGGAGACCAAAGCAGCAAGATGTTTTCACCAGTTCTTATCATTTCAATAACTATTGTAGCTACTGAAGTTGTTGTTGGATTTTTTGGAAATGGATTTATTACAGCTGTTAATATCACTAACTGGATCAAAACCAGAAAACTTTCTTCCGCTGATATGATCTTGATCTTTCTGACCACATAAAGACTTATCTTGCAGGTGACCATACTGATGCACATTCATAGCCTCTACTTTGTGGATGTGTTTAGGTTGGTTTCTGCATACAAAACTTTTGGTGCTGTATGGATGTTTGTAAACCATGCCAGCTTGTGGTTCAGTACCTGGCTCTATGTACCGTACTGTGTAAAAGTAATCAATGTCACCCAATGGCTGTTGCTGCAAATCAAGCTCAGAGTAACTGGCATGGTCCCATGGCTTCTTCTAGTATCACTGGTGATCTCTTCTGTGACTTCTCTTCCTTTATTATGGATTACACCCAGCTTTTACCTCTGCAGCTCAACTGGGAACTGTAGAGGAAACAGTACAGCACGTTACTGACTGGGGTGATTCACACGTCTACCTGCTGCTTCTTTACTGTGCAGGTTGCTTTTTGCCTCTCATATTCTCTGTGGTAACCTCAGCCCTATTAATTACTTCTCTATGGAGACACACAAAGAAAATGAAATGTTATGTACATACTTCCAGGGGTCCATTGATAGATGTTCACATAACTGCCATTAAATTGATTATTTCTTTCTTGATCCTGTATCTTTGCAGTTTCATAGCTCAAATTCTGCTGATACTGTCAACTTCTCAAAGTAAAGATGTTGTGATAGTTGCAATATCCTTAGTGGTAGCTGGGGCATATCCTTCCATACACTCTATTATCCTGATTATAGTGAATTCAAAACTGAAACTGGCAGCTAGGATCTTTCACCAGTATTTAAAGGGCCATTTTTAAAATACAAAATAAGACCCATGTTACAGCTTGAGAGAAACACTCTCCAGTAACAAATCTGGAATGAAGATTTCTATGTTTGTATTTTTTCACTGCCCTTTTTTTAGTCAGATTAGTCTTAATCGTTCGGGTATCGATGCGATTAGACCACATTAATGTTTCAGGACATCTGAAATAACATACATTTTTGCCTTTTCTTTTACATCACTCTTGCTTCCTGTCTTAATCGTATTTAGTATGGAGTGACAATAACAGTGCACTGAAACGAAACAATGCACTAAAACAATAAACCAAGTACAGGATGCTTTGTGATTTCAGATTCTCAGTTTAAGACAGGTTTATGATAGTTTTGATTTTAAGAAAATGAGGCTAAAACAGAGACACAATTTTCAGAGCTCGCAAATATCAGTTCTCTGCTGAAGGATCTTTCACCTGAGAAGCTGAAAATTGGATTAAACACATGTTGCACAAGCCATAGCTGGTATGACATATGAACAGAATATGCTTCTAAACATGAAAACCTAGCTAAAATATAACCCAAGGGAAAATTCAGGTTTGGAAATATGCAACCAATTAATGTAATTAAATTACATTCTGAATCAGGTTTACTTGTGTTAGGATTCCAGCCTGTATATAGCAATTCAGTGGTTAAATACCTCTTTAAAATGAATCCTTGTATTCAAAACATATTTTATGCTTATTTGTTTGTTTTTCCTGAAAGTGGATTAGTAAGGTGGTGACTACCACGTCAATAGATGTATGTACGTCGATCTACCTGTCCACTGTAGAAACTCACATCGAGTTGACCACTCTGACAAAAAATTTGCCTTTGTAGAAGATTTGCTGTAGCTTTGAGTAATTGTTTTTTCTAAGCCTGTTCTCTTTTAATATTTTATGTTACTATGAAGTTTCACATGAAGTTGATGAAATATGTTCAACAAATCCTGTCATGTTTTATCAAATAATTTGTTCGATGATTCTACTCTAAAGTTCTCAGCTCAGCTGAGAAATTTTATGCTGCATATCCTCTCTGCAGGAATTTAGATAAAGCTAGATTATAAATCACTATGGTTAAAGTTTCAGTCCCGTCTATAAAACTAATGAGCAGGGTGATTCACTTAGTCTTGGACTGTATCATCTTCAGTGTTGGAAACATTTCCGTAATATGTTTATAAAATGCTTTGAAGTCACTATTTAAGATAAAGGATTAATATAATGTTTTAAACTAATATCTTAAAATACTTTTTAGAGTGAAATATATGTTAATAGGAGGCATAAATGAATGTACTGTGTAATATGAAGTAATATGATTATTAGCATGTATAAACAGTGGGATCAAACTGCAAAGCAGGAGAGGAGGATGACTAAACACATAAACACAGCATCTGGAGCCCAGTAAAACGTGCAGTAAAACTAAGACTGCTGTAACATCCAGGGCTGCATCAAGATAGACCCAAAAGTCCCTCGAGAGCCCTGCCTGTGTAGTTCTCCAGGGAAGCAGATGGGAACCGCTGTGCTCATGCTGCAGCACCACCCTGCTCTGCTGCTGTGTGCCTGCCAACGTGGGCCAAGATTAGAAGAGTCACACAGCAGTAGTTCTTTTGGTCCTTTTTCCAGCTGGCAACATCATGAAAAGAATCTTCCTGAAAGAAATGAGGGACCCTTTGGTGTTGGTTTTGTTGGGTTTTTCTGGGGGGGAAGGTGGTGTTGGTAATGGTGTTTGGGGTATTTTTTAACCTCATCAGGAACCTCTGATGAAATTCATTTCCCAAATGAGCTTATTTTTCCTTTAGTTATTTCCAAACCAATTTCTCGTGGCAGTCTGAAGGGAAGGGATCAAAGCCAAGTGTGAAAATAATGACCCCTGCTCAGCTTCTTCACTGCCTCCTCACCTTCAGGAGGGGGAGATCTGAAGCAGGATCAATGATTAATAAAATATCCTTCAGCTTTTCCAGGGGAGAGGAGGACAAAGCTCAAGCACTTGATGTCTTTATATTGTATTAATGAAAGTTTTGTTACACACAACATAGGGTGAGATAGATGGGTACGTAAATTAGAATTTTAAATAACTGAATTGGTAAATAAATTATTAGTTTTGTCCTTTCTCTTTCCATCCTTCCCCAAGCTTCAATTTATTTTCATATCTTCTTCAATAGTAGATACAAATTCCCATTTATTTTCTGATCTTGTCCTGCTCTTTGGATTTCAACCTTTTCCCTTCCTAAAATCGTTATCTGTGTTCTCTGCAGATCTAGCCTTCTTTTTCTGGTACATTTTAAAAAGACATTCTGATTATTATTTTACAACGTAGTATCATGCACCAAGTTATAACAA